TATGGTCTTATCTGCAGAATGAGGGAGGCTGTGTTTCTCAAGTCAATGTGCCATGAGTGGTCCTTTCTCTGGGAGAGGTCGGGTCAAAATATTGACACTACCAAGATTAATGCTAATCAGTCCTTTACTTAGTGCATGCTTTTATAATAATTACTTAATGGGAAGTGGCATTTAGCTGACTGGCTGTGTACATAAACACTTATTTCTCTACAAGTTGAGGTTAAGGCATATAAGACCAAAAGGAGTTGATCTTAGGGGTGTGTTGTGCATGAAATTGTTCAAGTTTACTAATTTTAAATAGGTTTTTAATACATTTATTGAAGTAGTGGTTAATCCCACTGCTTATGTCTAATGTTGCACAGCACTGAAAATAATAAAAGGCCTTAATAAAATATTTTAATCTATGACAACGATATTAGTTAATTCCACAATGATTGTAGTTAATTCTCTGTGACAGACTTCTATATATGAGCCAGACATGGTACTGGATGTTGATAGAAAACAGTGAAGACCTGTTTCAGAAGTAGGGCAGAGGTGGACACACATTTCCTTTAAAAGATCAGATAGTAAACACTTTAGACATTAAAGGACATACAGTGTCTGCCATAACTGCTCAACACTGCTGTTGCAAACAGAAGTAGCTATAGATAATGTATGGATGTGGTCTAGCAAAACTTTATTTACAAAATCAGGCAGTGGGCTGGCCTGGGGCCATAGGCTGCAGTTTGCAGTTCTCTGGTCGAAAGGGGTAAGAAGGATTAATTGTCTAAACACCAAATTGGATGCTTGTGCTATCCTTGCAGAAACCAGTGACTGAGGCTCTGATGTGTCTGGATTTACATTTGGTTGATAGTGAAGTAGCACAGAGAAAGTAGCAAGGAGTTCCTGTGAATATTGGTGCTGTATGGATGTTTGCCTGTGACTAAGAGAAAGGTCCAGAAGCCAACACACCAAGGGTTAGCAGTAGTTTCCTCCAGGGGATAATTACTGGGTATGCTCAGGAAAACTCAGGTGCACAAATACAATGATTTCATCCTATGAAAGACCTGTAATCGTCAAATTTGCAGAGCCACAAAGTAGAATGGTGGCTGCCAGGGGAGAGGGGAAGTTAGTGTTTGATTGGTAAGCAGGTAGTAAAGAAGTACTTTGACTGCTCTAGATATTTAATCTCCCTTGGAATATTTTGCATTACGTCTATAAATTAAAAATAACAGTGACAAAAATTGTCTTCTCAAGACATTTCATGTGGGTTTTTTGTCACTTAGAATAGTCCAAGCTCTCTGAAAAGGACTCTAAGGAGATTTCTAAAGAGAGATCCTAAACTATTTTAGGATCTGATTAATCTCATTGCACATCATGCACAAAAAGTGAACTCCAGATGAATAAGGATCAAAAGATGAATGACAAAAATAAACTTCTAGAAGACAGTCCAGAAGAATATCTACTTGACCTTAGAGTAAGAACAAGGTTGAAAATTTTGATTATATGTGACTATACTGACATTATCATTAAAGAGACTGAAAAAGCAAGGTGGAAATAATTTACATTCCACATATATGACTGACAAAAATCTCATGTACAGAAGTGAACTCCTGAAAATTAGCAAGAAAAAATAAACTCAACAGAAAAATAAGTGAGGAACTTGAAATGCTACTTTATAGAAGAGGAAACCCAAATGCCAATAAACACATGGATAAGTGCTCAACTATATTAGTGACCCAGGAAATGAATACTGCTGCAAGATTGGCAAGAAATATAGACTGATCTCTCTCTCTCTCTATATATATATAGAGAGAGAGAGAGAGACAGACTGATCACCCTTGGTATAGAATATGTGTACTGTCGGAGTTTACAGAAATTTCTAGTGAGAGTGTAAAGTGGTACAGCACTTTGGAGAAAGGATTGTATGACCAAGCATGTGGAAGGTAAGTGTACTCCATGACCCAATCAACTCATTCCTGGGTATACACCCCGGAAAGTAGTGCATATGGATCTTAGAGAATGTAAGAATGTTCTTCACAGCAACATTGTTCACAACAATGAGAAGCAGGAAACAATCGAATGCCTACCAACAATAGTTATATTCATACAACAAAGAACTACCCGACAACAATGAAAATGAACTGCAGTTACAAACATGATGTATCTTATATCAAATAATGCTGAGCAAAAGCAGATGCACAAGTAAATGTAGATTTGATGTATTTAGCAAAAGCTTAAAACTATATTGCTTTGGATTTCACACTTCTGTGGTAAAATTGTATTGAAATACAAAAGCCAAGAGAGAGCGTTGCTTCAGAAGATGGAAGGAATGGTTAGGCAGGAGAAGACACTGAAAGGGTTTTGGATGCTGTCTACTAATTTTTAAAATTGTACTAAGACACACATAAAATTTACCAATTCAACCATTTTTAAGTGTGCAGTTCTGGGAGTGCTGCGAATGTACTAACTATGCTCACATGCTGTGAAAGCAACACTCCCAGAATCTCACTCTCCCCAA